TTACTTTTTGTGAGCTTGAGTATTAAAGCTGTAGATCTGAAATGTAGCAGACATCATCATGATCTTTGCATCATTGACTTTAAATCTGTCCATTTAGTTTTTGGATTTAATTTTTTAGCTGAGTAATTTGCAATTATGTGAACAGGCCCATACGTTCTCTGTAATACTGTTCCCATACAAACTCTGTAATTTAACAAATACCTTTTTCTAGCTGGAGTATTGAAGCTATGAACTGATCTGTAATTTAACAAACATCATCCCTGCATCATTGACTTTAAAACTGTCTTTTTTTGTTTTTGGATTGAATTGTNATGCAAACAGGGTTCATACGGGTCCTGGAAAACCTGAAAAGTCCTGGAATTTTATTGTGGCATTTTCCAGGACTGGAAAGTCCTGGAAAAGGGCTACTGGTCCTGGAAAGTTCTGGGAATCTGTTAAACTCAAGTAAAAAAACATGAAATGTATGGCTGACAGTAAAGAGAATTAACATTAAGATAATGGGAGTGAAAGGGTTAATGTGAATTTCAGAGTCCTGGAAAAATCAATCTGAGTCCTTGAAAAGTCCTGGAAAAGTCCTGGAAATTTGTTTCTGAAAAAGGGTACGAACCCTGTGCAAACACGGTTGTGACGTCACAATTTGAAACCATTTCAAAGCTGTTGCAGGACTCTTGATATAATCTAACTCTCAAGTACAAATATTAAGGAATTCAAATGAAGAAAACTTTTCCAGGTTTTGATTTGGCTCTGAGCCCGCAGAAAAAAAGCAAAAGAAAGAAGAACCTCACGCTTTGCATGCCTCAGTGTTAGTGAGCTAGATGACCTCGTTAGCTCTGGAGATATTTCAGTTTGAAAAATGTGTAACATATTCAAATGAGATGACTGATGACGTCATACACTCAACCCAATATTATATCAAGTATATAAATAGAGCCATCTCGATCAATTTGCAACAGAAACCATTGAAACTTGGTAGGCTAATAGTCCTATAAAAAATGCTGTTCCCATGGCAACTCATTCTTTTCCAGTCCTGACCCACTTGATTTCAATATGTTAGTGATTTTCAGCTCGAAAAACATTAAATGAGGCCACAAACTCCAGCTAACATATTTATATGCCGGCTGGATCGTGCAGATGAGGCATCTTTAGCAAATATCAAAATGGAACACCAAAGGTGGCCAGAAAGGGCTTTAATATTGGAAAGGTCTGTAACCCAGTATGTTGCCATGGTAACAAAACTGTTCGGCTCATATTGTGGAGCACATTTAGTAGAATCTCACCGCAAAGAATCAATTTCATTTTTCAAAAAAAAAAAGAATCAAGCATTTCTGATACAAATTGGCTGAGATATCTTCACCATATTGATCAAAATTTGGTAGTGTATGACATCGTCACTTGGCTAATTTGCATATTTATGTTAAAATCTCTGGAACAAAAAGAGATGTTTGAAAATAATAAACAGCATTTTTCTTCTCATACAAACTACTTGTTTATGTTTTAAAGTGGCCTAGATAGGAAAGATGCGATTTTCGTCATAGTAGCACATTAAAGTCTATTGTAAATAATAATTTGCATCATGTTTTTGTACCATGCTACTATAGGCTATAGCTCAGTTGTTAAGGTTACAGTATACCTTCAGGGGTGTCTTGTGTGCAAGGGACGTGGCACGTGCAGTTTAAGATGTAGGTACCTTAACCTCCATATCAAATTAAAGCTTATAGAGCTGGCTATCAAACTATACCAAGAATTTTGAAATAAAATGAATTGTCAAATTTTTCACAACCACTAAATGCGAGTGTCCGAATCACCTTTCAAAAGCTACAAGTCAAAGCGAACTTTGTTTTTTGCCAATTTAAATTTTTCTTCTGTTTCAGGGCCCAATGCGCTTAAAAAATATGTCTGCGTTTTGGCATATTCAATTGCAGTAAAAAGTTACAGAACATTTTCGATATAGGATTGAAAAAATGTGAAGTGATCGTACAAAAATCGCTCTCGAAGAAAAAGTATTTCGAAATTAATAATTTGCAGACACCTTTTTGTAGTTTATATGTTAAACTAGCTACTGTCCAAATCTGAGGGCAATTGAACAAATTCCCTTTGAGTTATAACTCTTTAAAGTGTCTACTTCAAGTGAAAAATTTATTCGAGAAAACAGCGCTAAGAAAATCTTCTGCTTTGCAAACAAACTCCGCCCACAAATGCCTTCAACTGGGTTCTCAGAGCCAATCAGTGCAGGGAAAGTTTACTACCATTAACCTCCTGGTGAAATTTATGCACGAATCTCCAAAAAACCCTTGTGTTTTGTAATGTGCTCAAGGCGCTGAAGGCGGAGAGATAATTTTTCTGT